TAACGCCGCTACAGAAACAGAAAGATGTCGTGTAATTTTCTTTTAGATCTAACAAATTTATAACTTATAAAATCAGGCAATGTAATTTAAATAATTACTATCACTCTCCGAATTTTCAAGGCATACTTGCGCAGTTCCTTTGCTTCTAATAGCATAGAGGTCCGTTTAAACAGTCAGCGATTCCATGGTGTCGCAGCGCAAATGACAACGGTAAGCGTTTGTTAAGTTTCTGGCTGTCAAACGGCGGGATATTATCCCTCATTAGCGATTGCACCAATCACTTGGATTTCCTCTGAAGGAAGCCACACCCACGCAACTGGACTACGCCTCATCAACGGCAAATGGTGCACTTCATTATTCGGGACTCGCGTCATCGTGACTACTGCATTGCATCTCGTCACCACATGGTCGTAGCGGAACTATCTCTGCATTTAGCCACTCCCATCATCGCTTCCCGTCATCTTGTTGAAACTCCAAAGGTTCGAGGTTTGCAGGTTAAAATATGATGAATGCGGCTAGTCGACCCACCGAAAGGAGGTTTACCAAAAGAATTGTTTTAATGCCACTCTTAGACCACAGTCGGCAAATGACAACATCCATGAAGTTTACAAAGACTTCAAAGAATGCGCCATTTCCTCGACGAAAGACGTAGTTATGGTGAGGAAAATATATCCACAGTGCCCTGAGTTACCAGGAGGTCCTAAATCCTACAGTGCAGAGATATCAGGCGAAGGATGAGTTCTTGCAATACCCCGCTGAACCGGCGATGACAGTTCATCGCTGTCCTTTTCGTGCAGTCAACCAGAGCCATAGGCAGGACAGTGAGTTTTGGTTGGCGAGAGGGAAATCAGGCAGATCGATAAAGGAACCAGAAAGGGGTGACGGACAACAGTAATTGGAGTGCAAAGCGACAGTTATAAGTAGGAGATACCATCATTTCTTATTGAAAGCGCTGACGAAGTCCCAGGGCAGGTCAGAAGGAAAGTTTTAAGAGATGAACTGAACTTTTCCAGCAGCTGCCCTTCAGATTAATCATTTCCGTTAATTTTCAGCCAGCATGAGGGGTTGGTACAGGTCCACCTACAGAACGAGAAATCCAAACGATTTTGCTACGCTTGAAGGTGAAGAAAGCTTGCCGGGAGAGTTGAATTCTTCTCGGGTTAATTAAGAATGGAGGAAAGGAAACGATGGAAAACCTCTATGCCCTGTTTCATCAAATTGAGGAACTTCCAAACATTTTCCTGGAAGGTAAAGTGCGAAGTAATTGTCCTTATATTTAAATGGGGTCGAGCGGCAACTGTTCCAATTATCTTGGTATAACATTACTGTCAGATATCCGGAAATCGTCTCCGGCATTTTTTTTTGGAAAGGCTCAGGCAGCCAGCTGACGAGAGACTTCGCCAAAATCAAGCAGACATCCAGATGGGGTTTTCCTGCCACGACCCAATTTCCGCTCATTGTAGTATCACTGAACGATGCCTACGGTTCGATTTGCCTTAGTTTGCCAGTTTCGTCGACGAAGTCGAAGGTCCTGAGCATCATGGAATACCCCGTTTCGATCTTTGAAGAATTTTATGCGAGACTGTGTCAAAGTTGGAGGAAATTTATTTGAACTGTTCCCTATTAAATGTGGAGCTAGCTCGGAAAGTGTGTTTTCACTTTGCTGTGTTCTCGAGTTTCTTCTCTGAAACAGCGCTGACAATGTCAAATTTGAATCTCTCATTCTAGAAGGAAGACGCAGTTCGAGATATCTGACAAGATACCCTTCTAATTTGGGTTCCGTCAATGATATTATCCTACTGATTGCATGTGGAGCGTGTCTTGCCACAGCACAAAAGTACCGCTACAAAAATGCCGACCTTTTCCTTAATGCCTGGAGGTCAGATGTTAAGGTTACCATCCATCATAGCCAATTTACATTTGGGACAAGAGAAGAAGCACTTCAGGAGGTGTGCCAATTTAAGTATCTCCGCTGCGTCACATCCAGCGATGGAATTATTCAACCAGAGCCAGAGCATCGCCTTAGCCTGCAATACTTTTGAATACCTGTCCATTATTTCAGCGTATAAAGCAGTTAATCGATGCACGAAAGTCCGGTCCGTCTTTGCGTTGTCTCTCTTAAGTTATCGTTGTTCTACAGTAAGGAAACAGTTTCTGTAACGAAGAAACAGGTACATGAGTTGAACTGCGCCAGCAACGTCAACTTCTACGGGTAATGAGGGTTAAATTACAGGACCCTGTAAAGAATCGCTACTCTTTTCCAGGCAAAGTGATCTCAATAGACCCGGAGATTAAGGAAAGGAGAATGGTCCTGTTAGACACAGTGGTTTAGCATACACGCTTTACTCCCTCCGTCTGAGCTTCTTGTGTAGGAGCCGAAACACGGCAGACGTCGACCAGGAGGCCAGCTTGCAAGAGGGGAGAACAAGGTAGCGGCATATCCGTTTTCAGGGAAAAATATTTCCTTCTGTGATGCAATAGCTGGTGCCGTCTTACAAAAGTGTTGGAAACCTCAGGATACAGCGGTAATCATAAAGCGCATATGTTGTGCTTATTTTAGCGGCTCG